TCCACAGGTACTCAGCACTTGAAAATCAACTTTCCAAATGATGACATCTCTCATCCACTGTCATTGCTTTTCTTATTCCCTCTGCCCTTGAGAAATTGTACCTTTTTAATTCTTTCTCTGTAATTCTTGTGGTGTTTGGGAGGAAGTGGAGATATGTGTGTATGTGTTCAGTTTGCCATTTTTAGCTTGTAGTTTGCCATAGTTTCACTTTTAGTTCTTTCTTTGGGAATCCAGAATGGCATTACAGTTGGTACCCAACCCCTCTACTTCACAATGTCTCCCTCTTATTTGAGGGGATGGGTTTTTGAGTTGGCTCAAAAAAAGTGTCATCCTGCAGTTTCTAGTGCAGTCTCCTGGCTCTCAGGGGTCTGTGTTGAAGTGTGTTCTTGTTCCTCATGGAATGGCACTTCTCAGAACACTGTATGCCGTTGTGAAAGTGTCTGTTGTGGCCTCTTCACTCTTGACCTTTCTCCTTAGGAAGGACTGTAGTGTTGGTCGCTTGCCTCTAACCCTGAGCACCACCCCAACATGTAACTTTTGTACCCTTCAGAGGGAAATTAGCCCTGATTTGTAGCATTTGCCAGGTTCTGTGGTGTAAATATTCCTACCAAGGCTGATTTCAGGCTGCCAGTATGACTTGGAGTTGGAAAGAAAGGTGCACAACTGTCTCTTGGAGCATTATGAGTTACTCCTGCCGAACACTGCCTTTGGGAGCTTCATTCACGACTGCCAGACTCAAGGATGAAGTCATTTATCCTTTTCATTGAGCTCCTCAGTTACTCCTGTCTTGATATTCCCACTGGCCTGACTCTGCCAACTGTTTGGTTATTCCTACTCTGTCTGAATTTGCCAGCTCAAACACTTGAGACTCTACTCTGGCTCAAGAGAACTCCCCAGAGCTCTGTGTTTGTCTTTCCTGTTGTCGAAAAATGTATGTTCTGGGTCAATCTTAATTTTGTTATGTTTTTACTCTGCTTTGATGTCCTCAGGAGAACCTTTTTAAAAAATTAGTTTCATGCACTAATATGAAACTGATGGTACGTAGACATTGTGTTTTTTCCAAGTAAACTTTCTTACAGTGCTATGCTGATGGAAGAATCAGGCAATTGGGATTCCTTATTCTGCAGTTCTGTCAATGATGTTTTCTTTTTTTCACAGTTGACAGGCCCGTCAGAGTATATGCAGATGGAATATTTGACCTCTTCCACTCAGGCCATGCAAGGGCACTTATGCAAGCAAAAACACTGTTTCCCAACAGCTACTTACTGGTAGGAGGTAAGAAGTGCTTTTTCTCTTTGTCTAGAAAACTCTTTTATAAAGTGCTTCCTGAAAAGGACCGCTTTCAGAGTTTCATCATTAAAATCCCACATTGTTAATGCTCCTAATTTAGCCCATACTGGCTCACTTGTTCATTGCCTGAAATTTAAAATGATGTTTAAAAAACCATAGGGGAAATTACATCATGCGATTATATGCTACTGATCCCAACAGAGAGACAGACTAATAATACCACCAAGGGTAACTGCTTCATGTTTTCCATTAGTGCCTTTCTTCTTGTGTTTGAGGCATGATTCAATTTATATTTCTAAAATTTTCTAGAGAGTTAGGAGAAAAGCAATATCATTCTGATTTCAAATCTTGCTGAGCTGAAGGGGTTCAGAATGATTAAGGGTAAATAAGGTCATTGTCTATTTCCTTTCTGTGACCCACAGCACTTAGGACAATGTTGTGCTAACATTAGTGGCTTACAACAGCCCTAAATAATTGGATTTATGCACAGTGTGTTAAAGAAATGGAGATTTATATACCCAAGTCATCTTGGTTCACAATGAAGGAACTGACTTATTTCATAAGCATGCGGAGAGAGAAGGGTGATGATGTGGCTTGAAATTTTCCTCCTCCAGAAGGCCTACAGATTTCAGTTTGGGTAAAAGGGATAGTACCTGACTAGGGAGACCTGTATCTCACCTCTTGTAGCATATCCTTTTACCACGATCAGTTTTTATGGCATTACATGAACTAGGGACCATCAACTCTTAGACCTCTACTGTGCGAATAAAAGTGCTGGCAAGAGACTAGGTATCTGGTTTTTTTTTTTTTTAAGTATTTTGGTATCTTCTGCAAGTTTTAAACTACATCCTCAGATCTCGCTGAGGATGGTGACCTTGTGGTTATTGAATAGAATTCTTTCCAGAAGGAAGAGATGGTAAAAGGCAATGGTTATTGGATAAGTCATGCAGAGGGAGCCCAAGGCAGGAAGAGAACCCATCTCTTGTTCATTTCCCTGTATCTCGAGCGGAAAACCATGTCTTCAGTGAGTACTACCACCTGGGATCTGGTCCTAAGTTGCCAGGCCCCTGGGGAGACCTCTGCAGTATTTGGGCTTTGGTCATTTTAAGTTTGTAGGTAGTTAGGTGTGGGTCACACTTAACAGGAACACTAGCTATGTCCCTGGGTTATTACATCAAAAGTAAGAACGAAGGAAATGTGCAGCTTTCAGTACATTCTTATAAATTGGAGAAAGCAGTAAATTAATGTCAGCAGCTATCTAGGTCATTAGGCAATAATGATTTCGCTGATTCACCGAATGATTCCTTCATTTAACAACTATTCATTGAGCATCTACTATGTGCCAGGCATTCTTCTGTACACTGAGGATGCAGCCATGAACAAAGCAGACTGTGTCCTCAGAGAACTTAGAGTCTCAGGAGGAGGCAGACACTGCTCAGTAAATAAGTAAATATGTAACAGTGGTACTATGATGAAATATGAAATATAGGGT